GTCTCCTGTACCAATTGGTTCAAGGGTACCTCCCACTTTCTCTTCTAACACAGTCAGTGTGGCTGGATTTATGTTGAGATCTTTGATCCATTTGGACTTATCTTTTGCACATGTGGATAGAAATGGATCTATCTGCAGTCTTCTACATGCCAATATCCACTTATGACAGCACCATTTGTTGAATTTGCTTTCTTTTTTCCATTGTATAATTTTAGCTTCTTTGTCACAAATCAGGTGTTCATAGGTTTGTAGATTAATCTCATGGTGTTCAATTTGATTATGTTGGTCTACCTGTCTATTTTTGTGCTAATACCAAGCTGTTTTCATTACTATAGCTTTTTAGTAGAGCTTGAGGTCAGGGATGGTGATGCCTCCATATGTAGCTTTATTGAGCAGGGTTGTCTTGGCTATCCTGGGTCTTTTGTTTTTCCATATGAAGTTGAGAATTGTTCTTTCAAGGTCTGTAAAGAATTGTGCTTGGATTTTGATGGGGATTGCATTGACTCTGTAGATTGCTTTTGGCAGAATTGCCATTTTTACTACATTGATCCTACCTATCCAAGAGCATGGAAGATCTTTCCATTTCCTGATGTCTTCTTTAATTTCTTTCTTTAAAGATTCAAAGTTCTTGCAATACAGGTCTTTCACTTGTTTGGTTAGTGTTACCCGAAGGTATTTTATGTTGTTTGTGGAAATTGTAAAGGGTGATGTTTCTCTGATTTCTTCCCCAGCCCTTTTATCATCTGTATATAGTAGGGCTACTGATTTTCTTGAGTTGATCTTGTATCCTGCCACATTGCTGAAGGTGTTTATCAGCTACAAGGGTTCCCTGGTAGAGTTTTTTGGGTCACTTATGTAAAGTATCATATCATCTGCAAATAGTGAAAATTTTACCTCTTCCTTTCCAATTTGTGTCCCCTTGATCTCATTTTATTGTCTTATTGCTCTAGCTAAACTTCCAGTACAATATTGAAGAGATATGGGGAGACGGGACATCCTTGCCTTGGTCCTGATCTTAGAGGAATTGCCTTGAGTTTCTCTCCGTTGATGTTCGCTGTTGTTTTGCTGTATATAAGTAAAGGTATGTATCCCAGATCTCTCCTAGACCATTATCATGAAGGGGTGTTGGATTGTATCAAAGGCTTTTTCAGCATCTAGTGAGATGATCGTGTGATTTTCGTTTCTCAGTTTGTTTATATGGTGTATATTACATTGATGGATTTTTGTATGTTAAACTATCCCTGTATCGCCTGAAATGAAGCCTACTTGATCATGGTGAATGAGGATTCTGTTGTGTTCTTGGATTCGATTTGCCAGTATTTTATTGACTATTTTTGCATCAGTGTTCATGAGGGATATTTGTCTGAAGTTCTCTTTATTAGTTGTGTCTTTGTGTGGCTTGGGTATCAATGTTATTGAAGCCTCGTAAAAAGACTTTGACAAAGACCCTTCTGTTTCTATTGCATGGAATACGTTGAGGAGAGTTGGTATAATCTTTGAATTTCAGGTAAAATTCTGCACTGAAGCCATCTGGAGCTTGGCTTTTTTTGGTTGGGAGGATTTTGATGACTACTTCTATTTCCTTAGGTGTTATAGGACTATTTAAATTGCTTACCTATTCTTGGTTTAATTTTGGTAAATGATATTCATCCTGAAAATTGTCCATTTCCTTTAAATTTTCAAATTTTGTGGAGGAAATCTTTTCAAAATATGACCTGATGATTCTCTGGATTTCCTCACTGTCTGTTGTTATGTCCCCCCTTTTCATTTCTGATTTCATTAATTTGCATGTTCATACTCTGCCATATGGTAAGTTTGGATAAAGGTTTGTCTATATTGTTGATTTTCTCAAAGAACCAACTCTTTGTTACATTGATTCTTTGTATGGTTTTCCTAGTTTCTACTTAATTGATTTCAGCCCTCAATTTAATTATCTCTTGGTGTCTGCTCCTCTGTGGTGAGTTTGCTTCCTTTTGTTCTAGAGTTTTCAGTTGTGCTGTTAATTCTCTAGTGTGACTATTCTCCAGTTTCTTCATGTGGGCACTTAGTGCTATGAACTTCCCTCATAGTACTGCTTTCAAAGTGTCCCATAAGTTTGGGAATTTTTATTTCTTTTTTATTTCATCATTGACCCAGGAATGGTGCAATAGTGTATTATTCAATTTCCTTGAGTTTTCAGAGTTTCTGCGGTTTGTGTTATTGTTGAATTCTAACTTTAAAGCATGATGGTCTGACAAGATACATGGAGCTATGCCAATTTTTTGTACCTGTTGAGGTTTGCTATATTTCTAAGTATGTGGTTGGTTTTTGAGACGGTTCCATGTGGAGCTGAGAAGAAGGTATATTCTTTTGTGTTTAGATGGAGTGTTCTATAGATGTCTGTTAAACCTAATTGGGTCATAACTTCTATTAGGTCCTTCATATCATTGTTAAGATTCTGTCTTGTGGTCCTGTCTAGTGGTGAGAGCGGGGTGTTGAAGTCTCCCACTACAAGTGTATGAGGTTTTATATGTGTTTTGAGTTTTAGTAATGTTTCTTTTACGAACATGGATGGCTTTGTAATTGGGGCATTGATGTTCAGAATTGACACTTCATCTTGGTTGATTTCTCCTGTGATGTGTATGAAGTGACCTCCTTCATCTCTTTTGATTGATTTTAGTATAAAGTCTAATTTGTTAGATATTAGCATTGCTACCACCGCTTGTTTCTTGGGTCCATTTGATTGAAAAATCTTTTCCCAACCCTTATCTCTGTTATAACGTCTGTCTTTGAGGGTTAGGTGTGTTTCTTGTATGCAGCAGAAGGATGGATTCTATCTTCAAATTCATTCTGTTAACCTGTGTCTTTTTATGGGTGACTTAAGACCATTAATATTGAGGGAAATTAATGACCATTGATAGCTCATTCTTGTTTGTTTTGGAATGGTTTTGTGGTGGAATTGTATGTGGATTTCCACCACTTTTTCTTTTGCCTGTTGTTAAAGTGGGATTATCTATTGACTATGTTTTCCTGGTTGTATTTACCTTCCTTGGGTTGGAGTTTTCCTTTCAGCACTTTCTGTAGGGCTGGGTTAGTGGATATGTATTGTATAAATCTGGCTTTGTCATGAAATATCTTGTTTCTCCATCTGTATTTAATGAAAGCTTTGTTGGGTATAGCAGTCTTGGCTGGTATCCATGGATCTTAATGTTAGTAAAATATCTACCCAGGACCTTCTGGCTTTCATAGTTTCCATGAAGAAGTCAGGTGTAATTCTGATAGGTTTGCCTTTATATGTTACTTGACATTTTTCATTAGCTTCTCTTAACATTCTTTATTCTGTATGTTTGCGGTCATTTCATTGGCATGTCTTTCTTTAGGTTGGGAAAGTTTTCTTCTATGATTTTGTTGAATATGTTTTCTCCCCGTTTGAGGCAGGTTTCTTCACCTTCTTCCATACCTGTTATTCTTATGTTTGGTCTTTTCACAGTGTCCCATATTTCCTTAATATTTTGTGTTAGGGATTTGTTGGACTTAAAGTTTTCTTTGGTCGATGAATCTAATTCTCCTAGTGTATCTTCAACACCTGAGATTCTCTCTTCCATCTCTTGTATTATGTTGGTTATGCTTGCATCATTAGTACCTGACCATTTTCCTAGCTTTTCTATTTCCAGCATTCCTTCAGACTGTGTTTTTTTATAGTTTCTATTTCAGATTTCAGCCCTTGAACTGTTTGAATTATTTCTTGCAATTTTTGCTTTGACTTTTCCTCCAATTCTTGCATTTTTGGATTGTTTTTCCTTCCATCTCTTTAAGGGATTTTCTCATATCCTCTTTGGGGGCCTCTATCATTTCCATGAAGTTGTTTTTTTTATGTCATTCTCTTCTGGTTCATTTGTGTTGGTATGTTCCAGTCTTGTTGGTGTAGGGTCTCTGGACTCTGGCATTGTCATATTGGTTTTTCTGTTGCTCCTTGTGTTTTTATATTGTCTCCTTCCCATCCGTTCTTGCAGTGGGTTCCAGAGGGTGCCTCTTCCTCTCCTGATGGGTGTAGGCATGTCCACTGTTCTGGTAGCTCTCCATTTCCTTGTCTCATAAATGGAAAAATGGACTAGGATACTGGGGTGCTTTGGATCCCACTGGGATGGATGGGAGCCCCAGTGGTATACCCCAGGCACAGGAGTGTGGCCTGGACACAGGCCCTGATAATCTTAGTCATGTGGGTGGAGCAGGAGACTAGGATTCTAGGGTGAATTTGCTCCTGCCTCTGGGATGGAATCCACTGTGGCAGTCCCTGAGCACCAGCACCTGGTCTAATGCTAGTTCCGTGGGTGGAGCAGGAAACTATGGTACCTTGGTTCCTGCCACCTCTGCGGAGGTGGAAGCCTCAGTGGCAGAGCCCAGGTCCAGGCAGGCAGTCCAGAAATGGGCCCAGGTTTGCCTCAGATTTTCTAATTTTACCTAATAAAAATGAGTAATAACCGCTCAGGTGGAAATGAGTAACATGGAGAACATGATGACAGTTTTGTCTGATTCCATCTCATGATTTCAACTTATTTAATTAAAAACTTTACAGATCGAGGCCTAAATCCATCCTGAGGATAAACTGAGGAAGTTTAGCCAGCCTCCTGGGTTGTTAGATTAGCTGTTTCCACATCACAATTTAGCATGATGCCCAGGTGAAGTATTGAAGTGGCGTTCCATAGCAATAGGGTCTGTGCCCCCCAGTCACAGGGACAGCTGAGCCTTGTTTGAGGCGTCACAGAGCAGCATTGGGCCTTATACTTGCAGCTTAGGGGTGACTGATGGCCCTCCTTCTGTGGAGTTATTAATTCATGAGAGAGATCTCCCTCCACACCAGACTGCTGACTACCCTGGAGGTAGCAGTGGTTATCACACAATAGTCACAGCACCTGTGACAGTACCTGAGGAAATCCTCGGGGTAAGGGTAACATCAGGCAGTAGATGAGAGACTGTGGTAGCCAGATGCAACCACAGTCCTCTATTCCATTTGCTCAGTCTTCATTCTCATCTGCCTTTGCTTTAACATCTCTCACTGGCCCCTCCCAGTGATCAGGGCTTATAAACGCAGCTTCTTGTTATACCAGAGCATTCTCAGAAGCTAGAGAGGCAGCAATATGGTGGCCATCCCACTCCTCCTCTTTCTCTTAAGTGTCACAGGTGAGATAACATTCCATGGCGACTTTGGATGCTTTGACTGTGTTTGAAAGTGATAAGTGATAAGGAGCAAAAGCCATTTGCAGCACAGGTCTGGCTTGTCACGGTCTGGTGATAGTAGGAATCTCTGATCTAGGGTTTCACAGTCTCTCTATCCCCCTGTGCCTCTGGTTACAGCTTCCAAGGGACAGATCACACTCACCCAGCCAGCAGAGTCCCTTCATGGTTCTCCAGGAGAGAGAGTCTCGATCACCTGCAGGGCCAGTCAGAGCCTCCTCTACACAGATGGAAAGCACTACTTGTCCTGGTACCAGCAGAGACAAGGGCAGACCATCAAGACCTTCATTTACCATGCTTCAGTCAGGATTGATGGAGTCCCCACCAGGTTCATCGGCAGTGGATCTGGGACAGAATTCACCCTCACTATTGAAGACCTTAAGCCTGAGGACTTTGCAGTTTATTACTGTCTTCAAACACTGAAGATGCCTCCCACAGTGATTGAGTCCTGAACAGTAACTCCCCTTAGACCTGGTTGCCCCCACCTGCGCTAGCCTCGGGGACTCCTACAAGAGAAACAGCTGAGTAATCAGAATGTAGACAGTGAAAAACAACATAACTGACCACTACATGGAGCAGTCTTGTCTCCTTAGTCTCGTCTGTGGCATTCAGTGTTGCACAGAAGAGACTTAAAAGACATGGAGTCAAACTAAAAGGCAGAAAAAGAAACAGGATACATTAAATTCATATTTGGTCATGATTATGTATCACAGCAATGGAAAGCAAACTAGGACAAGCTAAAAACTGGGAGGGGGCCCTTCTTACTTGTTTTGCTCCTTGCTATCTCATGTACATTTTTAATTTTTATTAGCTCATCTGAATGGTTGTTGTTGTTGTTTTAAGATGTATTTTTTATTCTCCTTTTCTCATATATTACATCCTCACCAATCTCCATTTTCCCTCTTCTATTTTTCCCAATTATCCCTCTGGAGAGTCCTCCAGCTCCACTCTTCCTGTTTCCCTTCATAAAGGAGCAGTCCTCCCAGGAATATCAACTGAACACATCATAACAAGATACAATAAAACTAGGCACAAGCCTTCATATCAAGGCTGGATGAGACAAGCCAAGAGTAGGAAAAGGGTCTCAAAAACAGGCAAAAGAGTCAAAGACACACCCACTCCCACTGTTAGGAGACCCAAAAGAACACCAAGCTATGAGGCAATAACATACATATACTGGACCTAGTGCAGGCTTCATACTTGCTGCTTCAGTCTCTGTGATCCTCTATGAGTCCTGATTAGTTGTTTCTGTGGGCCATGTTCTCATGGTGTCATTGACCCCACTTGCTCCTTCAGTCTTTTCTCCCCCTCTTCTGCAGGTTTCCCTGAGATGCACCTTTTGTTTGGCTGTGGATTTCTACATCTGTTTCCATCAGTTACTAGACAATGCCTCTCTGATGGTGATTGGGCCAGACTTTCATCTATGAGTGTAGCAAAATATGATCAGGAGTCATTTTGTTGAGTTCTTTTTTTTTGCTAGTTGTGTTTGGTTCTAACCTAGATCTCTGAGCTATCTAGCCTCTGCTTCCCGACCATCCATCCAGGCAGTGTCAGGCATGGGCTCCTTCTCGTGATACTGGCCTCAAGTTGGACCACTCTTATCTTGGCCACTCCCACAAGTTCTGTGCCACCATTACCCCAGCACATCTTTCAGGTGAGACAAAGTGTAGGTAAAAGGTTTTATAATTGGGTTAATGCCCCAGTCCAACCACTGGAAGGCTTGTCTTGTCATGCTATGTATCCCTCATTACTAGGAGTCCTTGTTACAGTCACCCACTTAGACTCCAGGTAGTTTCCACTGTACTAAGTTTCCATATGACCCACCAAACATCCCCAGTACTCATTCCTGCCATCCCTCCCTGCTCCAGACTGATCCCTCATGTTCCTATACCCACCCACCACCAGTCTACCTGCAAAATCTATTCTATTTCCCCTTCACAAAAGATCCACACATCCCTGAGGTCTCTTGTGCTCTCCTTCTTACTTAGCCTCACTAGCTCTGTGGATTGTAGCATGATTATCTTTTACTTTATAGCTAATAACCACTATAAGTGAGTACATACCATGTTTGTCTTTCTGGATCTGGGTTACTTCACTCAGGATGATTTTTTTCGAGTTCTATCCATTTACTCAACCTAGACACAGGGGTGTGGGGGTGAAGTGGTGTCTTGGTCCTGCCTAAATGAGATGCTGAAACAGACTTAGTAGACTTCCTCAGGGAGGAGCAGATGGGGAGGAGGGAAGTGAGGAGAGTAGGAGGAGAGAAGGGAGGGGAAACTGGGATTGGAATGTAAAACTAAATTAATAAAAAATAGTGTTGTATTTTATTTTAATTTATTTAATTTAGAAACAATCTTTATATATTCCAGTTACTTTTCCCTCCCATCCTCCCATTCCCTCATTCACTCGCCAAGGAGGGTGAGGCCTTCCATGGGTGATCATCAAGTCTGTCACATCATTTGGGGGAGGCCCTAGGCCCTCCTCCATGTATCTGGGCTGAAAAAGTATCCCTCGATGGGGAATGGGCTCCCCAAGTCTATTTTTACACTAGGGATAAATACTGGTTCCACTGTCAGAGGTCCCAAAGACTTCCCAAGCCTCCTAACTGGCACCCACATTCAGAGGGCTTGATATAGTCCAATGTTGGTTCCCCAGCTTTACAACTGGGGTCTGGGTGGTCTCACCTGGTCAGACCAGTTGTTTCTGTGGGTTTCTCCAGCATGGTCTTTACCCCTTTGTTCATCACACCTCCCTCTCTACAACTAGATTCCAGGAGTTCAGCTCAGTGCTTAGCCAAAGATCTCTGCTTTTATTTCCATCAGCTACACTATGAAGGCTCTAGGATGGCATTTAAGGTCATCATCATTCTCTTTATGGGGGAAGAACATTTAAGGTAGCCTCCCCACTATTGCTTAGATTCTTAGTTGGGGTCATCTTTTTGGATCTCTGGATATTTTCCTAATGCCAGTTTTCTCTTTAAACCTATAATGAATGGCTCCTTCTAATAAGGTATCTCTGCTTGATCTCCTCTATTCTTTGCCTAACTCAGTCTTCCTGACCCCTCATGTTCCCCTCACTGCTCCTCTTCTTCCCTTCTCTGTTTCCTATCTGACTCCTCCCCATGTTCCCAATTAGCTCAGGAGATCTTGTCCCTTTCCCCTTCTCCAGGGACCATGTATGTCTCTCTTAGGGCCATCCTTGTTTCCTGAAAGCAACCTAGATGTCTCTGAACCAAAGAATGGATGGAGAAAATGTGGTACATTTACACAACAGAGAATTACTCAGCAGAAAAAAACAATAAAATCTTGAAATTCACAGACAAATGGGTAGAAATGGAAGAAACTATCGTGAGTGAGGTAAGCCAGTCACAGAAAGACAAGTAAGGTACATACTCACTCATATATGGATATTAGACATAGAGCAAAGGACTACTAGCCTACAATCCACATTTCCAGAGAAGCTAGAAATAAAAAAATTTATAAAGTATAAAAGATGACTTTGGAGTTGGAGCATGGATCATTCCCTCTCTAAACCCAATCATGCTTGTTAAAGAAAAATAAAAAATCCCTGTCTCATGTTAGAAGAGTCACCTGATATGAAATAGAAGAAAAACAAATATTTAAGGACTATTGTATTGCTACTTACCTTAATCTTTTGGTTTTATGTTGAGTTTTATCTTTTTAATGACAAACATGAAAGCATAAATATTACATTTATATAAAATTTATAGGATTGATATATTTTATTTTGAAGTTTTTGTCATATTAATGATCATATAGAGCACTAACTAATTCTAGAAAAAGGTTTCATCTACCTTCCTGTACATGATTCAGGTTTGAGTCTCTACCAGTTTTTCTAGAGTGAACCATGACCACACTTAGCAGCAACCTTTGAAGTCTCCAAGAGGAGGATGGGACCCCACAACAACAATTTCATCAGGACTATGACAACACCATTAAGTTGAACAACTCCAACTAAAGATCAGTTTTTGGACTACAAACTGCTCAGAACAATTTCCAGAAGGCCCACTGAGATGATCCAGTCTCACAGGCAACTCTAGCCAGGACTTGAGGCAAGCCCTGAATTTTCCCATTATGCAGAGATTAGACAAAAATGATACAGCTTGACAGTTAACCCAAACTTTTATTTTCAGAACCCCCTAAAAATGTCATTGCTCCCAGACAGAGGAAGTAAATTTAAGAACATGACTCCCACACTCTCAAGGGGTGGGATGGGTGGTTTTGGTCATTCAATAGGTTATAGATACTTGTTTATGGGATTGGTTACAAGTTGCTATTGGTTAAAAATAGGAGGGATACAGGTAAGATATGATAAAATGGTAGACTATTGAATCTACTCTGAAAAGAAAAAATGGAAGATATAGATATGACAAGATAAAAAGATAGATTACCTTTATTGACTCCTGAGTGAGGTAACCCAGACTCAGAAAGACAAACATGGTACATATTCACTCATAAGTAGATACTAGATGTAAAGAAAAAAATAACCAAACTACAATCCACAGCTCCAGAGAAGCTAGGTAACAAATAAGGACCCTGACAGGGACACAGGGATAACCCTTGCAAGGGAAATTAGATGATATCTACTGGGTGAACTGGGGATTGGGAGGTAGAGAGGGAGGGGGAGAGGGGATGAAGCATAAGGGACTGGGATGGTTGAGGGGTGATAGATGCAGTGAAACAGCAATGAGATATCTTAATAGAGAAAGTCATGAAGGGGGCTGGGGGAAACCTGGTGCTAGGGTAATACCCAGGAATCCCCAAGCATGACCCCAGATAAGACTCCTAGCTTTAGTTGAGAGGGTACCCAAAGTGGCCTTCCCCTGTAATCCAATTGGTGGTGCCCCAATTATCATCATAGAGCCCTCATGCAGTAATTGACAGAACCAGAAAAAGAGATCCACAGCCAAGAACCAGACCTAGCTGCAGTAATCCAGTTGAAGAGAGAGAGGAGAGAATATATGTGCAAGGGAAGTCAAAATCATGATGGAGAAATCTATAGAGACAGCTGAACCAAGCAAGCTCTTGGAAACTCATGAACTCCAGACCAAATGCAGTAGAGACCCAAGGGGGCCAAACTAGGCCCACCATATGTGGGAGACAGTTGTGAAGCTCAGACTACCAGAGGGGACCCTGGAAGTAGGACCATGATACAAACCTGGTACTTAAGCTAGCTTGTTGAAGCCCCTTCCCTATGTGGGATACCATGTTCAGCCTTAATACATGGGAGAGGGGTTTGACCCTGTCCCAACCTATTGTGTCAGACTTTGTTGACTCCTCATAAAATACCTTACCTGTGAGGAGGAATTGACTGTGAGTGGGCTGAGGGTGAAGTAAGTGGAAGGAGGAGTTGGAAGGAGAACTGTAGTTAAAATTTAAAAGAATAAGTGAATTTAAAAGGTGACAGCAAGGGGGCTGGAGAGATGGCTCAGAAGTTAACAGCACTG